GTTGTAGTTTTTTTTTTTATTTTATAATTTATTTTTAAAAAACAAAAAAAAATGCCAGGTCGGGCCAGTTCTGGGCCCAGCATTTAAGGACCGCCGACCCAGCAGGCCGGGCCGGGTCGTGAACCGTCTCGGCTTTTGGAAACATCTAGTTACAAAGTTATTCTCTGCTTTGGTTAAAATAAAATGACAACATCCTAGTTTACCACAATCCCCATTATATATAATTTCTGAATGTGTTGAGTCTAGACATGTCAAAACAGGCCTGGGCCCGCAGGACGCCTGGCCCCACCCGTCTAATAGGCGGGTTGGGTTGATGTTCTAAAGGCCCACCCTAAAAGGCTTGGCACGCGCGGGACGTGGGCTATCCCGCCATTTCAAAAAATAATTTAAATTTTATTTTTTACATTACATTTTACATGTAAGTTGCTATTTCTTTTAATCTTTACATTTTTTTTTTTCATTCCAATACAAAAGCACTGAAACTGAAAGTCTAAATAGAGTGAGATATTGTGCCAAGCATTTTTTTTTCCTCGCATTCAATTCAAATGCCCAGCAGAGCAATTCCTTTATTTTTGAACTACTTGTGCACAGGTTTTATCAAATGCCCAGGATAGCACAGTTTTTTCCTTTTTTTTTTTAAATAACTATTTGTGCCTAGGTTCTTTTTTTTAACTATTTCACAACGAGCTGGCCCGCTAATGAAGGATCGTATATCTCCTCAACTCGTTTGTCTCGAACTAAGCTTTGCCAAGGCTTTTTTCTCGACGATAGGTGTGGACGACTCGGTTATTAGCCTTATCTTTTCACGATTTTGAGATGGTTCGGGTCTTAGCCTTGCCAACTCGGTTTGTATGATAAAACTCTCACGAATTCTAAACACACGATTTGCTCTTGCGGACAATTTTCTATTAACTTCAAAACATAAATAATTCGAATGACATGAGTAGGTATTAATAGAGGCTAAATAGATCTAATCATATTCTAAGAAGACATCTAATACTAGGAAATAAATAAAGTCCTAAAGCAATTAAATATCTAGAAAATAAAGACTTACCAAAACTAATAAGACACATGTCTTTTATTCAATATCCTAAGAGCATCTCTAATGCATTCTTTTGAAAGAGTAAAAAGTTATCCACTTCATCTAGATAGAAAGTGTGTGAATAATTTATCCTCCAATGCATTAGATTATGGGTCATTTCATGCTTATGTGTAAAAAATTAATGTTAACATTGTCAAGCTCACTTTCTAATTTCTCACATTCTTTCTAACATGATGACTCAGTATTTTGATAATTATTTGACACAAATTTTGAGCTTTTCATAAACTTAGAAAAATCTCACCCTTACATTTATCCAAGAAAACATTTGAGAATTTATTTGAATACAGTATAATTATTTGATGAGTTACAACTAAAATTTAAAAAAGTTATCAATAATAATGTCCTGAAAAGTAAAATATTATATTCATGATATTTGTTTGTTGAGTTATTGCAATTTTAATATTTTGTTGTTTATTTTGAATCGATTAAAAAAATATTTATTGTGTGGTTATACATATTGTAACTGAGAAATTATTGAATAAATAATAATTTTATAAATTTGATGATATAAATAAAAATTAACTGAATCAACAAAAATAACATCATGCATATAATTATTGAAATTTGTGATTTTTTTCTAATATACTCTTTGATTTTATTATAATTGAATGAATCTACATATACAAACTGTATGGTTGTTGAATGGATGCATTGGAGACAACAATTCAAATGAAAGTTCTATTCTTTTAACGTTCAGTTCATGTAGATTAAACATTAATCCATTGATTGACATGCGTTCAAATTTAATTAATGTTGAAAGTTGAGCATTGGAGATGCTCTAACCAATCTAAGACTCCTAATGATGCTAAGTAAATCGGCTCTTGGCCATCTAGAAGGATCGCGCGTCTTCTTGTGTCGCACGCCTCGCCTAAACCCTAGTCGCGTCGGCTAGTCCTTGTCCTCAGAGGTCTCGGCCTTTTCCCGCGTCCCACGCATCGCACGCGTCCAGCTGCTTGCGCCCTAGGTCGCGCGGATCAACCCTAGATGGCGCGCTACTCCTAGTCCGTTGAAGACTGGCGCTTGTTCGCCCCTGCGCGTCGCGCGCGTCACCGCTCCTGGCCTGCGTGTGCTTCGACGCTCCTCGCTCGTGCTCGCCCTTCGCACCCTTCGCCTGCCTGCGATTGAGCCCCACGCTAACCTCCTCTCGCCCGCGACTTCGCTGATCAAGTCCTTCACGCCATCCGCCTCTCGCGTGGTCGAACCGCACGCGAGCCACCCGTCGCGAACTTACCGTCGCGCCTTCATCGTCATCCTTGCACCGTGTCATCTCGCGCGTGTCGTTCCTCGCGCTACCCTGCCTCCCACGTCCCGTTCCTGCGCGCCTCATCACGCGATCCACCCGTATCGCGTGTCTATGCGTTGCACGATTTCCTCGTGCGCAGCCTTTCCGAGCCTCTTTTGCACAGTCCCGGCGGTCATCCCGACCCTTTGCGCGCCTATTCGCACGGCTCGAGCATGTCTCGTCCTCGGGCTCAGAAGGGTCGATGACCACATCTTCATCACCCGCCTAGCCCGCGGCCACCCAGTCCCGCCCCACTAAACGGTGGGTCTTGGCGAGTTGCGGGCCAGCCCGCCCCGTCGGCCCGTTTTGACATGTCTACCTGAGCCTAAGAGCATCTACAATTCTTTCAACCAAAAAAATTTATATGCCACCTAGATAATAGACTCAGTCTAAAAAAATATATTTTTCAATACAAGTGCAAGTAGACCGGGTCCTGCTGATGTGGCAGTAAGCAAAATAGACCCGGTCTACACTTAAGTCTATTTTAGACCCAAGTAGAGACCTAGTCTCTTGCATTGAAGTGAATTTTATTAATTTTATATTGTTTTATTCATGTCGTTCAAGAATGGGGTTTTGACCGCGCGTCGCAACGCGGTAAAATTATAATTTATATTTTCCTTAACCGACTTCTACCAACTAGTAGTAGTAGTGAGCAAAGGGTCGAACCCACAGGGAGTGTGAATCAAATTGTGAATTTTCTTGTAATAATTGAAATTATAAAAAGCAATAAAAGATAGGGGAATTTTGAGATTTAATAACTAAACTCTTTAATCCTTAGCATATAAAGTAAATGAAATAAATAAAATAAATGAAGAGAACTTTCTAGTTCAGATTCAGTCTACACCCTCGACTGACTCGTCTAATCAACTTTGGAATCAAATCTCGCTATCTTATGAAATTATTAGCCCTAGGCAACGACACGGTCTGTTACCCGAATTTTTCCTTAATTTTAATTTAACCGCGAGACGCTCTACGATTAAACCTAACTTCTTGTACAGTCCTTTTCAAGATTTAATACAATTAGCCGTTTTACGAATTAGAAAAATAGGCTAGACTAAGTAGTGAACTCAACCGCGTTCATTCACTTAAATAGGCCATGTTATCCCCGGTTGTTACCATCTTCCGGTTACCTCTTATGAATTAAACACAACAACAATTACGGATTGCAGGTCTAATTCAGATGTAGATATGAAAAGCCTAATCTAGGTGATCAATCTAAACAAGACTAACACATCATGGTGAATTATTCAAAATAACACAAACAATTCCAAAAAGATATTGAAATTGTCAACCACGTAAATTAATCAAACATCGTCAAGTTGTAAGGTTCAACATCACCGGAAATAAAAATAAAAACTAGCCTAACATAATAAATAAAAATAAATAATAGATAAAACAGAGAGATTAATTATCTTCCTCGTGTACGGGTGCGGCCTCCCTCCGCGATTAATCGGGCTCTCTCGTATTCCTTGCGTCTGTTCACTCTGTTGGTGGCGTGTGGAAGGGCTGCACAATTATATCTTCCTGTGATGGCTGGCGGCACAATGAATAATAATTTGAGGAATTTGCACCCCTTACTATTAAATATCATTAATATTACACGTTTACTCCGATTACATTTTTAATTATAAAATGACTAAACAAAGCCATAAATATTACAATTATACCTAATGTAACTGTTATTAAGTAAATCAAGCATTCACACCATCTCCTCCTAAAAAACAAAGCTATGACTATTCACACCATCTCCTCTGAAAAATCTCGTCGTTTCCCCCTTGCTTCAATGGCCAAGACAAAAATTTGGATCTCTCAAGATTATTAGATCGAGTGTGGGTTGAGGAGGAGATGGAGGAGCTGGTGGGCGTGGTGGTGGAAGCGAACAGGCTGAGGAGGAGCGTCTTGGCCGACGTCATGAGCGCCACCACCGTGTACAAGGCGACGTTGTTCTTAGAGGCGGCGGCAGAGTTCTTGGTAAGGTTTTGTGATGCGAAATTGGTGAAGGAGTTTGAGGAGTGCGAGAAAGCTGTCAATTGATTTAGGGAATCAAGGCAAATTTGGGGTTTCCTGATTATTAGGGCAAAATTTGTTTCTTAATTTTGGGATTTTTTTCTGAATGAGCGTAGTAGCAATGGGTTACAGATTAAAGATTGAGTCATATGTTGAATTAGCAATGGATTACAGATTAAAGAGCATCTAAATGATTTTTTTTCTTAATTTGTCATTGACGTTGTTGAACACGAAGTCCTGGACGGTGCCTAACTCGACGGCGACGTGGTTGGAGGCGTTGCCGACGGTGGTGGAGTTGAAGAGTTCGAGACGATGGAAGAAAAAACTGGAAATTGGAGACTGTGGGTGGGGGCCATGAATTAATCGGGTATATGTTGTGGATATATAGGGTATATGTTCTGTATAATATAAGGGTTACCTTATATGTATGTATGGTTTTATATTGACAAAGCATAAACCGATGATTTTTNAAAAAAGAAGACATAAAATTTTCATGAAAGACATGTTTTTCATTGCAACATATACTGAATATATACTAACATAAACGCAACATATACCGATTTGGACAGCCGCGTGAATTAGAAGACATAATTTTTTTATGAAAGACATGTTTTTCATTGCAACATATTATACTAACATATACTATATGTAGCGGGTATACACAGTATTTTTTCATTATATGATTCGAGTATGAAAATTTATATATTTCGGGTATATGTTACGGGTATATACAGTATATATCAAAGTAATACAACACATATATACATAAAATCTACATAAAATATACACTCGAGATTCTAGTAATTCAAGCCAACCGGGACACATATATACATAAAATATACGTTAAATAACACTCGAGTTTCAATCGTTTCTCAAAATCGATTTTAGAACCCATATATACATAAAATATACTTAAGATATACACTTCGCCGGAAAAGACTGTCATGGCGGAGGGAAAGCGGGCCGCAGAGGCTGAGGACGACGGCTCGCGGGGTCTGCTCGCGGCGGTCCTAATCGCCGGAGGAAGAGGCTGGTCACGGCGTCTGGTCGTGACAGGGTTTGCCGGAAGCCGCAATTCACGCGTGAACAAGGGTCGTCGGAATTCTTCGCGAGATGGAATCGGCGCTGGGCAGCGACTCACGGCGTGGGAGGAGAGCGGGTCGTGGCGTTGCTGGGGTCTCGTCGCAGAGGGCTCGCGATTGGTTCTTATCGAAATTCGCAGGTCCACGCGGAGAATACTCGCCGGCGGGAGGCTCGCGGCGTCAGATTTGCAGAGACTCGCGGCTTGCTGCTCGCGAACAGAGATGAGTTCACGGCAGAGGACTTGCGAGCAGGCGAAGGTCGGGGGTACTGCGCGGCGGAGGGGCTCGCCGGCAATTGGTCTGCGCGTTCAGAGGATGGCGGAGAAGGAGATGACGAGATGATGGTGATGGTGTCGCGGCGCGTCTGGGTGGTCGCGGCTTGGAGATCGGCGGCGACGGGAAAGGTCAGAGGAAGGGATGATGACGATTGGTGGTGAGTTGACCAGCGAGAGAAAAAGAGAGATGGTGACGGGTTCTCTTTTCCGATCGACATTGCCGGAAAACTGGCCGCTCTACTTCTTGCCGAGGAAGGTCACAGAATTTTGGGAACTTTCTGAGGAATTTTTTCGGGAGAGGAACGGCTTTGCTGCGTGATTTGTTCCTATCAAATAGGAATGGAGATATGTAACCTATTTTTTAGGCACTAATATAATTAATTATTGTCTATTAGGTATATACACAATTAATTATGTATGAATGATAATTTTACAATATTTCAATAATCATGCAGTATAACTGAAAATTTCCCTAATAATTTTCCCCGTATGGTTTGGCTGCGTGTATTTATCCTCAAATGATGCCAAAGACTCCAATTAAATCCTCCAGCCAATATCTCAAATTCTTCCCTCTCCAATGTGTATGTTCTCACGTATTTCCATAAAGACTCACGGCCCATTTAATTTATTTCAGCCCAAATACATTAATAAATCAACAAGCCCACTTTTGTAAAGCTTTGGGCTTTATGGCATGGTATTAGGGCCCTACAGTGACTCGCGCGAACTCTCGTCAAATGCTTAAATCCACAAAATACTCCAAAACACTGAAAATAATACATAGAAATGTCATAGCACTTGGATCCTTCTAATAATTGAATAAGTCGAAAAATATATAAGTGCGATAAAATCAAGCATATAAAAATACGCTAATAAATATATAAAATACACACTTTTTCCAACCAATCAGGTTTATTTACATGCCACGTGGACAAAACTAGACACAAAGCATTGCAGATGCTCTAAGTGACAGACTCGCATGCTTCGAAATCCTATGTGACAAGGTTCCATGATTCATTATTTGGCTTGCATAGATTTTAATTACTTCACATCCAAAAATAATTAGGTTCAGATTATTCATAAATATATTGATTATTTATGGTCATTTGAGATATAATTGTATTTTAATATCGTTTCCCATTAGAATAATTAAATTACAAATGTATTTTAAAAGTTAATAATTTTGTATTTTTTTATTAGTTATACATATATAATATATCAAATTAATCATCTATTGATAATTTTTTATTTGACATCCATATGGCATGTATGAAATAAATAAATTATATTTATCTTTATAATAATAATATTATTATTTATTAATATTGGATAACAAATAAAATTATTTATCAATTAATATATTTATGTTTAAAGTAGTTATGTGGTACAAGTTACAAAAATATTATAATATAACACAGGTAAGTCGCACAAGTAACAAGTGTCATTCTAAAATAGATAATAATATATTTTTTGCAAAAAGTATTTAAATTTTAAAACACTTTTTCTCATTATTTTTAAAATTTAAGAATAAATATTTTAACAAGCTCGTGTAATACACGGGTGTTGTACTAGTCTAATAATTAGGGAAAAATTCAAAATTAACCCACAGATATAGGGGGGTGACAATTTTGGTCCCGACGGAATGCACAAAATATGAATAGTCCCACAACTTTTAAAAAATGATCAAAAGTAGGACTTTTTCGCCGGATTTGCTATTTCCAGCCCGGAACGCCACGTGGCGCACACGTGGCTTAGTTTTGAATTTTTTCCTATCTGGGGAAAAATTCAAAACTAGTCCCACAAGTATAGAGGAGTGACATTTTTGGTCTCGATGGAATGCAGAAAATTCAAAATTAGTCCCACAACTTGTAGAAAAATATGAACACGTCAGATGCCACGTGGCGTTCCGGGCCGGAAATAATAAATCCGGCGAAAAAGTCCTACTTTTGATCATTTTTTAAAAGTTGTGGGACTATTCATATTTTCTGCATTCCGTCGGGACCAAAATTGTCACCCCCTATACCTGTGGGACTAGTTTTGAAATTTTCCCCTAATAATTATTGGTAGAAAATTAAATATGATTTGGTTTTGTCAATAAAATTTCGATGCAATCCAACAAATTCATCATCAATTTGAAAATCACTGCATGATTTTTAAAATAACTATAACTCTTTTACCAAAATAAGAATATTGTGTTTCATTTTGACTACAATCACAAGTTGCTATACTTGAAATGCAACCCAAATTTATGAGGCTGTAGGAATATGACTTCACTTAAGGGGGCAAATGGAGTAAATAGAGTGTTGAGCTAATGGTGTGGGTATCTTTCGTCTGTACATTAGGACACGCATGGTTTAGGACCATCAACTATCACCCCTCTAATCTGACACTCCATTTTTTATGGACAAATAAAAGAGAGATTGATTGATGTTTTTGTACTTATTTCTTTGCCGGTTGGTGTTAAAGATATTTTGATTTTGTTTGAAAAAACACTGTGATTAATTTTTTCTAGTGAATATTTTGACGTGTTGTCTTAGTCTACATGTGATTTGTACTTGTAGATTAAATTTTGAATCTTTCGTGTTTATTTATTTTTTGCTGCATATTTAAATTTTTTGAACTTCATGTGAAAATCTGGAATTTTTGGTACCTAAAATTCTAACACAATATTTAGTATAAATAGATATCAAGTCAAATATTATATAATATATATATATATATATATATATATATATATATATATAGAGTTGGGTTCCAGTGAGAATGACTCTTAATGCGAGAAATAAGAATAAATCATAGTCATTGGATCGGATGATCTAATGGCTTAAAAAAAGTCAAAATTATACATTTATTAAGGGTATTGTAGTAATTTTGCACCACACACATAAAGAGGTGGGCCCCCTCACACCATAATACACTGCCAACTAATACCATTCACCCACCCCACCACGTTTTCTCTCTCCCTCTCAAACACGCACACACTCACAGAAATCGAAAAACACACACACACACACACTCACGGTCAGCAACCGCCCGTCCGCCACCTCCTGTCCGCCAAATCGCCACCGCCCGTCCGCCACCGTCACAGCCCCTCTACCCGCTCTCCCAGACTCACTCTCTCTCTCTCTCACACACACACAAACGGGAATCGACACACACATGGTCACTGCTCACTGCCGCCCGTTCGCCGCCGCCGCCGCCCCCCGTCGTCACCGTCGACACACACACAATCACGGATCTACGCACAGCCGTCCACCGCCCGTTCGCCGTCACCATCGCCCCCCGCCACCGCTGACACACACACAGCTCGCCACACACACACACAGACGCCATCGCTGGCCTCCTCCGCCGCCGTCATATCATGTCCGAACTTCCTCTACAGTGCACCAATGGCCGTCGGAGGCCGATGTCAGACGAATTGAGTCGGAGATGGCAGTGAGCGACGGGAATTTACCGTAGGATTACAATTTGGGTTTCTTGATTTTTGTTGCTTCTTTTTTTTTTTAGAATTAGATAATTTTGAGGGGCTTTTTTGCAATTTTGTTAATTTTGATTATTTTCAATTTAGTCCATAGGCAAATCTGAAAATTTTGAAAATATATATAAATTATATATTTTATATACTTTTTCATACACATTTAAATATTATATTTTTAACCAAAAAATAATATATAAATAAATAAAATTATAAAATACTAAGTATGGTTTTATAACAACAAAAAATTAAATATAGTGAAATACTAAGTTAGTTTTATATTAATACACTCAATTTATCTCGGATCATATAAGACACTTTGTATATCATCACGTTGCACCTTATAAATATACACATTGCACTTTATAAAAGAGCATATTGCACTCTATACAATCCACAATTAATGTCGATATCTTCTACCAAAATACCACATCATAAATCTAAAAATTGTATCTACATAATAATATAATATCCATCATATCATTCGTAAAAAAAAAAAGAAAAAAAAACACACAAGCATGTTAACGTACCCAAATTACAGTAGTGCATTTTATATATCAACACATTGCACTTGATAACTCACAACGTTGCACTTTATAAAACAACTCATCGCACTTTGTGACAACACTCCACAATAGAGATCGAAACCGGCCAAACCCGATTTTTTTCAACCACAAATAATATAACACAATAAATAAAATTATTAACATATTAAATATAAATTTAGTACAAATAACAAATTATTTCGATTGTTTATGCTAATTCTATTAACCGTTCAAATAAACCTTCTATTTCATTTGGATTTAGTTTAGTTTGGAGCAAATCATAAAGATTGCACGCAATTTGACTAACACATATATTATATTATTTTTAAAATTAATGTAAAATATTAAATAAACATAATATAAAATATTAAAATGTTATTGGACATATTGCACATTATTGACTGACGGGTTGCACTTTTGTATTAGTGAGATTGCACCTTAGCATAACAAATGTACATGTTAATTAAATTAATAGAATAAAATATTAAATACAAAAATTATAAATACTAAATATATTTTTAATTGCATAAATAATTTGATAAATATACTGTAATTTTAATTAAATACATATTATTAAAAAAAAGTAAAATTAAGATGCACATTAGGCGTTTGTTTCAATTTGGTTGGGCTTCAATTTGGGATTTAATAAAGAAAGAAAAGACCTGGCTATTACAAACAATAGCCTAAATTGTAATTTATTAACATTTATAAAATTGCAATTCAATCCTCTAAACATATCAAATTTTCAAAACAAAGGCCAAATTCTAAAACGCACAAATCTCATTCCAAGTGCAACTCCTCTGGTGCTGGGCGACGGGAAGGAGGATCTGTGCGGAGACGGGCTGAGTGACGGCGGCCGAGGGCCAACGCAACGGCGGTGGTGGTTCTCGCCGGCGCCGACGACCTGCAACTCATCTGGTGCATACCGCGGCGGAGACACCCTGGGCCGGTTGCAGGTGGCGACAACGACGTTAGTGGCGGAGCTGGTGGCGGCGATGGGCATGTTGCTGCGACTGTAAGAATGTGGGAGACGGCGGAGGCAGATGCGAATGGCAGAGGCGGGGCGAGGCTGTTGTGACCGGACGGCTGACGTGAAGCGGCGGACTGGAGGAAGAAGACGGAGGCGAGGTGGAGGTTTGTCGACGGCGGGTATTGTTGTGGCCGTCGGGAATTCTTGCCGTCAGATCTAGAAGGGTTGGCGGCATCGGGTCTGTCGACGACGGCGACATGAACGGTGGCTTGTTGTGGTGGTTGCGTCTTGCCGGCGGGTGGCCGAAGGCCCGGACGTGAGAGAGCCGATATAGATCGGGCAGGACAGAGGAGAGTGGAGAGATAGAATGGGTGCAGGAGAGAGGAGAGAGGAGAGATTAATGGGTGGGAGAGTTTTGGGTGGGGCCCACTTATTTTATTTTTTTGGCGAAATTACCCAAGTGCCCTTCCATCTAATTATTTGATCATGAATTATTACTATAATTACAATTTTGCCATTGCATAGTTGACCTTGTCACTCAATTTTGACCAAATCATGTTCATTGATCATACCGATCAAATGGTTTATAATCATTCTCATTTCTCACATTAAGAGTCATTCTTATATATCTCTCTTATCTATATATGAAGAAGTGAAAGCCCTTATATGGCGACAAGTGGCTTCTTCTCACGTTGACATATAGCATTTTATTTGTCAATTACTTGAATGCCCATTTTTAGACACACACAAAAAAAACCTCTTAACACTACTTGTGAAGGGTAATAAGGTCACTTCGATGTCTCTTCTATTTTTATGTGTTTTGACTTAAATGCCCCAACTGTATTCATCTTTTGGGGGTTGTGGACGTAATTAACCGTATGTGCTTCTTTTCTTGGCGTCTTCGCGGGATTTCTCCTAGAAAATCTGGTGAGATGTGCGTCATGTCTTCAATGCCTTCAAATGTACATAAATTACCCTGCTTTAATACATTTTTTGGTCTTTTTAGTGTCCTTAGTGGTTTGTTATGTTTAATGCGGCCATGCTTGGTCCTTCAGGTCGGCTCTTCTTGAGTCTTCCCCGTCTATTTCGGTAATTCAATGTTAACCGAGATATGCTGTAGCCTTTTGGCTGCTCGTACTGTGTTTGTACATTTGAGTTCTTATCTAATATATTTGATGTTTGATAAAAAAAAAAAAAAAAAAAAAAAAATAATACATTTTTTGGGGTTATTTCGGTCATGTCATAATTGAAGTATATGTAGCATGTTGTACCCTATTTTATAGCTGTATGCTAGCCTTTTTCTTGTTCTGCGGAAATCCCGAAATCTCGCACACGCAAGGTCAGGTATAGAATGGAGAAGGGAGCAGGTAATACCTTTGCACTTCACCAACCCTATCCCTACCCAAACAATTACTCCTTTTCTTCTTCACTTCACTTCACAATATGAAGCTGAGCCCAAGGTTGGATCTTATCGTTAGCCGCCGTAGCACAGCTCCGTGCACCCGCCGTTCGATCTCATCCACGCCCCATCTCATCGCGTCAAAGATCAAAGGAGTGCTCGCCGGAAAAAAGGGCGATGCCTCCATCGAGATCTTCGATTCATTCACCCTTCTCCGTGAGTTAATTTCCCATCCCATCGCGACGTCGTTTTCAGCTATGTGATTATTTGGAAATTCATGAGTACAGGGTTTGCGGCGGAGATGAACAAAGCCAAGAAGCCGAAGTAGTTCGTGGTAGTACGCAGGAACAGCGAAGCCACGTTCGCCGATGCCTTCAAGAAGCAGGAAGCCATAATCCGATACCTCGAGGTGTTGATCCTACTGCGAGGTTTGTTTCTGATTGAATTTGTTATATGGTATTTCAGTTTTTTACTAATTGAGATTACGAGTTTGTTGTCTTTTTCTGGTGGAATAACTATCTGAATCGAGTTTGTGAGTATATATATAACCGCAGGAACGAACGAACATCTCTGATCCAGACACGTATGCATCGACCTTAGAGGTATTCTATGGATATCTTCTGTTTCTGTAATGTAATTATTCAAAGCTTTTTCCCTTACTTTCAGCAGCAAAAAAAGAAAGAGGATGCTGACCTATCAGTGCAAGAGAGACAGTTATGCAATTTTCCCATTGCCGTTGGGTGCAGTGGCATTTTGTACTTCACCCCAACTGATCTTGAAAACAATTGCGGTAAAAATATATATGAATTAAGCCATACTATTTGGTTCAGCTCATTTTTCGAGTTTGTAATCTGATTTTAATTACTAAGTTTTACAAGAAATTATCTTCAATGATTGTTCAACTATTTTTCACTGGTTTCCTATTTGCTTCCAGTTACATGGATTCGACTTGATCTCATATATAACTGCATTTAGAGTGCATTGAATGTGTTTGATGAAATAGCCAATTGTGTTCTTTCTTGATAATAGTTCAGGCAAAGGTTTTTGTATTGGGCCTCGATAAATCTTTCCAGTTGAAAACCAGAAACCAAGGAATTCGCTGGTATATTTGTCTTCAAATTGAATTCAGTTTCACACTATTTTTTCTCAAATTTCTGTTTGCAAATTGATTTTATGTGGGTGCTCAACGTACATTAATATTGTTATGAGGTTTGGCTGAGTTGTCTATCGTAAGTTGCTGTCTTTCGGTAATAACCTCCAAGATATGATGTTACTTGCTCCAGAACATAAATGGTGTTACAGAACTTTAACTGAATCTTCTTTTTCTTTTTAGTTTAACAGTGAGATCAAATCAAAGGAAATGATCTAGAAACATAAGGTACTAAATTTTTAGACGAGGAAAAGGATCATAATAACAAGATTGAAAACTTACAGGGAAGGCTATTGGTATTCTTCACAGCACTGGTCATGAAGTTGAAAGGGTTCATATAGTTGTAGTTTATTAGTAGCTAATCAGTTTTTCACTTCTGCTTATTATAGTATCATTCTGATCTATTGTTGCTAATCCATATAACAACTTGGTACAAGGATTGTTGATGTTCTGCTTATTCTAGCTGTTGTCTTGCTATGTGCGTATGAACTTTGTGCCGTCTATGTGCCCAAGTTTTACTAATCTTCATTTCGGCGATTTTCTGCCAGCTGCTGGACGAGAAGCGGCAAAGATGTGCTGGAGCTGAAGGTCTATGCGGAGGACTGTGGTGGAGGATTCTAGCAAGCACTCCATATTTATTTGTTGCAGACCATCACACTTGAGGTCGAATCAAGAAACATAATCGACAATGTCAAGGCTAAGATTGACGATAAGGAAGGTAAATTATCCTGTTCGTTCATTTGTTTTCACCTAATAAACCAATTTTCAGTTCATTTCATGTTTAGTTGGCAACTACAAAAGGAAAAACAAGAATGGTTGAATTTTTATTCGATGTTTTAGAATAATTTTTTGCGAACTTCTGCAGTTCTGTTCTAGGGATCCCGACAGATCAACGGCATTTGATCTTAGCCGGAAAGCAACTCGAAGATGGTTGAACCCTTGAGAATTAGAATATCCAGAAAGGATTTCTTGAGAATTTGTGTTCAGGGTTTAGTTCATTTTTAGTGAATGTTGGAATGAATTTTTGTTTGGTTTTGAGGCTCAAGGGTGGCATCATTGATCCCTCGCTTATGCCTTAAGCTAGGAAAATAAATCAGGAAAAGATGATTTGTTGACGTAAGCTTACGGAATTAAGTTGTCCCATTGATTTCATTTGTTGATTGTTTGTTCTGTAAGTTTCTATCTGTTATCAGTTATCTTATCAGTTATCTGGCTATGTTTTTTTCGTTTTCAATTGAAAACTGTTCCGAGGTCCTAACAAGTTTCTGTTTCATAGATATCTATGGAAGGGCATATACGAGACAATGGTCCAAAAAACTAATTTTAATTCATTTTGTACATAGTGCAAGATATATGTACAAGTCTATATATTATCCCGTTTCAACCATTGATGAGTCCAAAAAGAATTTTGATACATGATTAATCACCATATAGGCCTACAGTTTAACACTTTCTTTCAATTATAAGAACATTAAAAAATGTTCTTGCAAGTTCTGATTTCTAAACAACATAAAACTACATAGTTATGCTTACCTTTATTTGCTAAGGACCCATGACAAACCTAATGATCATGGAATTTAAAAATAAATTTCACTTTGATTTATAACTTGACCAAGCATTTTTTGTTTGCCTTAACATGATGTCAAGGAAAAAACAAAAAAAAACTCAAAAACATAAAAAAAAAACCCGATAACAACAAGATGCCAAAATACCAGAAGAACCAATATAACTAACCTTTTGCAGTTCCCTGGTTCAAAACATTACCGAGAGAAAGGATTGTTTGCATAATTCTTTTCAATTTTGCAGCCAGTGACGACAAATTTTCACTATATTTTTGGACTAAATTTGAGTCCGCCGTGCGTGCACGGCGTGACCCAACTAGTATATATATATATAGATAATACTATGATATAGGTTAGGTGGTTGAACCGAACAAGCAACATGAAACTAAAAATTAATTATGAGACTAATGCTACCATAAAAATAAACTAAAAATTAAATATGGGACTAATGCCACAATGAAAACATTTACACACAATATTTACGCATAACATTACACACAACAATATTTTAGATTTATATATATTAATATATAGGAATTGAATTAAATTAGAAGAAGAGGTAGTAAAAGGAAGAATAATAAATAATATTCGTCAGTATGATCAAATAAAAAGTTAAAAACTTCAGATCTAGTCAACTAGTCAAAATTTTAGTAAAAAATACGGTCGCATTTCAGCAATTTTGTGTACTTTTTAAATATTCAGGCAGGGGCGGACAGAGAAGCAGGCGAGCTTAGGCAATTGTCTAGGCTCAATTTTTCGTGTTAGTTAAAAATTTACATTTAATGTGTGTAAAAATATAAATACAAGTTTTTAGTTTAAAATTTTAAATAATTTTTACAAAATAATATTATTGTTTATATTTAAATTGATACACCTCACCGGCCAGATTTCACGATATTATATTATAACATTTTAGTACTTATGTCATATAATAAGTTTGATAGATAAATTTATTGTTTTTAAATCATAATTGATAAATGTTTAAGTTTTTATTGATAGAGATCATATAGATATAATTATTTTAATTTACATATAAAATATGAATGTCAAATTATATATTGTCAAAATATGACTAATTTAAGTATAAGAAATGATAATATATACAAATGTTATTGACTTTTAATATATATTTACGATTTAAGTTTACCCAAGCGTTTAAATTTGGAAGTTTTGGATTAGCATCTATATTTGTATTGACTAACCTATAGAATTACAAAACGTTGAAAATTGATAATAAAAAACTCTACATTATCTATAAGAAGATAATCCATAAAAAAATCTTTATAAAATAACAAAAAATAAAGATGATGACATTTAGGTTTTTCTTAAATTAATAAGTTATATTTCAAAATGACTTGTTTATTTATTATTACAGAAAATGACAGGAAAAGAATTGTAAATTTTTTTGGTATATTTCTTAATAATAATAAAAATACAAAATAAAATAATACTAGACTTCATTCTGAATTTCATTTTTTTAGCATCAAGTCAAAGGCAATTTAAATAGGGAACCCTTCAATACCCGATTATTTTAACGATTTATTTAATTGGTAATATAAGTACTTTGTGTAATATGGTTAAAATTTTTTCTTCGAACTATTTTTTGTGCAACCTCATGAAAATTTCTGGATCCGCCAATGTATTCAGGTGGTGGCAAAATGTGCATGTTCATGCGTAGTATTGTGCATATCACTTATAATTATTGTGTATATTTTAGTACCGTACAATTAAAAACATATAATTACCCTAGAACTAGTTTTTGGATATTTTATTTTATTTGAGATAACTGTTACAATTAGGTTATGTAATCCTGAAGTCTATTTTGGGCACTAACTGTCAACATTTTGATTTTTGAACATTATGCGTGACCAGGCTAATAATGTGTTGATGACCTATATTTAGCCGTTGCGCCGCGGGAGGGTGATGAAATTGTCCATTATGTCTTGTTATTCCATAATCTTGGCTCTTTGGCGTTGGATACAGAGACGGACCTACGTGGGGTTCAAGGGGCCCCCCTCAATTTTTTAAAAAAATCATTATATACATAGTTATATATGAATAAAAAAAATACCACAAAATATGAATAAAAATGTAAAAAAAATACAGAATGTATAAATAATTAAAACTTATTTTCGATGCTATTTAATTTAAAATAATAACATTATTTATTTATTAAAAAATATGCTAACAGTCTTTATATTTTACATTTCTAAATATATTTTTAAAAATGATATAATAATTAACTTTTTCGGCCTCTTAATTGTAAATCAGTTTAATAATTTATAAAATCTAGAATTTGGTTAGATTGTTAGATTTTGAACGTTGATCGATTGTATATTTGAATGTTGATTTTTTACTCTTTTTTTTTATTTAATCACATATTTTTTACTTTATTTATTTTTTTATTAATAAAATGGTTATTTGATAAATTCTCATCAACAAAAAATGTTATGCAATGTGTTGCAAAAGTTCAATGTAAATCAAATTTTGAACAAAAAATTTATTTTTTTTATAAATTATAGATCTTAAACTTAAGTTATAAATACACGAAATCTCATTTTTTTTCTTTTTTTTTTTTTTGCTTAAAAAAAAGTTTGAGGGTGATACGGATTTAAGTTTTTAAAATTTGATGGTACACTATATTTATAAGTAAACACAACTTTATATGAAATGCGCGTTTTAACGTAAATTACAAACTCATTATTTAACATTTAAAATTGAATCCCTGAGTGAAAATCCTGGTTCCGTCACTGAACTTAGATATATCAGATGTTATGGCTATTATATGTATTTCTAATTCTTTCATTAATAATCATTCATACTCAAGTTTATCTCTATCTATATACGGGGAGTATTCATTAATTTTAGGGAAAATTTCAAAACTAGTCCCACAGTTATAGGGGTGTGACAATTTTGGTCCCAATGGAATGCAGAAAATATGAATAGTCCCACAACTTTTAAAAAATGATCAAAAGTAGGACTTTTTCGCCGGATTTACTATTTTCGGCCCGGAACGCCACGTGGCATCCGACGTGTTCATATTTTTTTACAAGTTGTGGGACTAGTTTTGAATTTTCTGCATTCCATCGGGACAAAAAATGTCACTCCTCTAAACTTGTGGGACTAGTTTTGAATTTTTTTCTATCTAGGAAAAAATTCAAAACTGAGCCACGTGTGCGCCATGTGTGCGCCATCGTGTAAAGAATAAGCCACGTGTGCGCCACGTGGCGTTCCGGGCCGGAAATAGTAAATCCGGCGAAAAAGTCCTACTTTTGATCATTTTTTAAAAGCTGTGGGACTATTCATATTTTGTGCATTCCGTCGGGACCAAAATTGTCACCCCCCTATATCTGTGGGACTAATTTTGAATTTTTCCCTTAATTTTATAATCAGTGGACTTATAACATATCTTTTTCGACCAGCATGCATGGTGCACAGTTGCGAGACAGGATGGATCACAAATTGGGTAATTCATATAATGTGGCTCCAGTCTCATTCCATGCATTAAAAAAATAAATAAAAATGAACCAAAGTAGCTATATATATAATATTAAATTAAGCTGAAATGATGTACTCTTATCTAAAAGTATGCACTATATAGTGAGACATCGAGACAAGATATCACAAGCCATAGCTTTGTCCAGAGATGTTAAACGGGCTAGTTTAGCGGTTTCGGGTTAATTCTAGCAAGCTTCGAATTAAATGATCTGAGCCTAAAAACCTCGAATTTAAACGGACTACCAATAAAGTGACATAACCCTAATCTTAGCGGACTACGGGCTATGCAGGCTCTAATTTATAATAATAATAATAATAATAATAAGAATAATAATATATAAAAAAAATATCAAAAATAAAAAAATAACAACGACTAGTTAACGATTGTTTTCAACGGCTATTTAGTATTTATCGCTCTATATATACAACTGCACATCATATATGAACATACATTACAAACTCTTAAATAACATATTTTTTCTCAAAAATATATA